CCCTTGGTAAATTTTGGCATCTTTCCCAAAAAACCCCCCCCCCCCCCTTCCACCCAATCCCCCACCCCTAAGTTGACGTCAACCAAAATGTACATTTTACATTTAGATAGAACCTGTTCTAATCTAGCTTCTGGCAGTCTGAGCTTTATCTTTTTTTTTGTTTTTTTGTAAAGTGTTTTACGGCGCTCGCAACTGCATAGGTCATATGAGCGCGCGGGACACACCTAATATTTTCAGTTGGTAGGAAATTTTGAATTTTGAATTTTGCCCGGGTGGCGGCCGAAGCCTACTCTTATCGATTTTAGACCACCAAGGGATCTTTAACGTGCGCAACTTGCACAGGAGCCCTCCGAGATTTTTCACCCTTGTCCGAGAAGGCTTCTGAGCTTTAGGGAGATAACTGTTAATTTTAGTTTTTAAGGACCCCCCCCCCTCCCCTAAAATAATGGTCCAATTTTACTGTGTTAATTTTAGGGCCAAAAAGTGGTCTAGCGTAAGATTTTTTTTCTTTTTTTTACCATATTTTACCCATATAACAAGCATAGTAAGGAATTTTAAAATCTACAATAAAATTTGAGAAAAAAGTTTCGTTTCCATGGATACGGCGGCCATATTGGATTTTGTTGACATGTCTTACGTAATGAATACCGCACTTATTTTTCAAGGAAGTCGATTGGGCTTTTTTGCATGCATGTTAGCAAACATTAGATCTAAAATGTGTCAGTTGATTTTTTCCAAAACGAATTTGAAAACTTTTAATGAGTTTTTTCCTGCATGAGGTGGTACTCAAGTTTGCACCAAAAAATATATAAAAATCCGTGAAAATCCACACTCCAGACAACACCACCAGCAAAAGTCTATTTAATATAGGCCTATATCAAAAGTTCAACACACACATTTTTAGCATTTAATCTACTCTTCATTCCGTAAAAATTTCATGAAGATTGGATTAGAAATGGTGGAGTTATTAAAAAAAGTATAGAGAAAAATCGCGCTTTGAGAAAACGGCTGATAAAGAAGAATAAAATATTGACTTTTTGATGAAATGGTGGTTACCAACATGTCTGGTATGGGAAGAAATAAGGCTTTGAAGGGATCTTATGCAATGAAATAGTTGTAGGAGAGGCTGAGGAAGCTAAAAATGCCTACAACTCAAATTTCATAATTGAGAGCATAATCGGGACTTTGGGGATGTAGCCCCCCCCCCCCCAACCCCCCCCCCGTGTTTAAAGAAGACGTTTGATTTTTTCTATGGGAAACATTTGCAATCCCCTTTCCCCCTACCCCGCCCATTCGAGTTCGAGTTGCGTTTCTCGTAAGTGTTAATTAATTAAAAGTCAATGGCCTCGCAGGAGGACATTTTCTACTGGGAACTTCCCGAGATCTGACAGCGTACAAGACGCATACGCACTGCCACGCACAGGACAGTCAGACAAGAAGGCCAGAGTCCCACCACCACACCCATGTCCAGTAGAGAAGAGTCTCGGCCACGACAGAAAACAGCAAGCTACATGGAGGGGGAAATGGACAATGACTCCTCAGTCCATCTCGTCGGCCCTGGAGAGGGTGATTAACTGTCACTGCAAATGACACTTCATCCCCCCCCCCCCCATACATACACCTCCCTATACAACCACCACGTAAATATACTCTCAACGAAAAGTCTCAGAGTTGTCCAACTCGAACAACGTTCGTAAAACTTGCCTACCTCTACAGAAAACAATCAGCGAATGTGCGCAAGCCGTTATGAGCCTTTCTCTATAGTTTGAATGAAAATGACGCCGCGGCAGACAATCATTATGAGAGCTGTCAAGACACAAGCGACAGGCCAGTGCGGTATAGGGGATTTGGTGTTGAGTGTAAACCACAGACTTGCAAAAAGAATCGATCGTCAAGTCATTGTTGAAACAGTGCGCACTGCTTGTGAACGGAAGCGTCACCCTGTTTACAATGGCATCTTAGAAGACAGGCTTTCCAAAGATTAGATCTAAGCGAAACTAATAAAAATGAAAATTTAACTACAGTGACTTCAGACTCCTTGACATAACTGCACCCTTTAAATAACTCTGAAACACTCTTTTTTTTTTCTTTTTTTTCAAATTCGACAGTTAAGTGGTTCGGAATTTTTAGGCGACCAAAGTGAAGAACTTTCACAAATTTAATATACTAGACTACCGACGCCAAGTTTGAATGAAACTGGAAAACTTGCAATTCATAATCGTACAGAGTAAACAACGGATACATTATTGAGGACTGATGAGAAGAAGGGGAAAAAAGGGAGGGGGTGGGGTGGAGGGGCGCCTAGGACCTTTGTTATTGTAAGATTGAGGGTTCGAGGGTTCGAGCCTCAGTTAAGTCCGATGTTGTGTACTTAGAAAAGACATTTTACACGAATTTTCCCTATGTCTCCGTCCATTCAGAGATGGATGTTAAATTAACCTTATTATTTATGTGAGGCATCGTGATAAAATCATGCGCTTGTCAAAATAACGAAATCGGAGAAACAGGCATTTTTTCCCGCCAGTTTGGACGTTTTTATCGAATTTGTATTTTCTGGCTTACCCTCTTTTATGTCGATTTAAAAACACATTTCCTAGTGAATTTTACTGACAAACGTAGATTAAAAGCACAAAATATGTCATTTTTTAGTTTTCAAAGACTGTTTAGCTACAGGAGTTACCAAACCCTGCGGCCATTTTCTCGATAATTTCACCAGAAATCAGACAACCTCATTTTCTTCAATCTAAGATATCTTGAGTTCTATTCAAGATAAATGAATATTTAGTTCATTGGAAGCAAGTCAAAAGAATCAGCTTTCAGATCATAGTATATACCAAAAACTCCACATGCCCAAAAATTAACGAGCGCCTGATTCCACCACGTCGTGACACTTATAATATTGATAGGGACGTACTTAAACCTGTGCCACTTCCTATTCTTTTTATCACCGCCGTAACCGAGAGCCGGACAACCACTGACCATCTCTATCGCCGCTGTTGGCGTGAGCCTATATAGCTTCTGGATCGGCCGAGCTGGAAGGCCTCGCCTCTGACTCTGACAAAACTCTCACCTTCTGCTCGACGCTGATCAGCTAGATCTAAGCTTTTCCCATGACGAACTAAACCCCATGCTCGGTTTTGATGTTCGCAAGGCGCAGAGTGAAGGATATAGATCTAGATACCCAAAACTGTGCACCCTGTCATAGTACAGTTTCACCAAGGAGAGCACCATCTGACACATTTTGGAACCAAATTACATCGCATGGAGGGAAAGACTGTGCGACCATTCGGCTATAGCAAGACTGGTCACCCCTCTACATTTGCACGATTATAGTGGGCACTTGGGCAGCGACGTTTTATAAGAGAGCAAAGAGCGGCGACCATAATAGCATTCCACTCTAGAATATTATAAATAATACTATAATGGACGTCTAAGA